TATATAATAATATAATAACATATTAAATACCAATATTTAATATGTTAATAATGTATTATATAATAAATAAATAATAATAAAATATAAATAAACTAATAAAAATAATAAAAAGTTATTGATAATAAATAATAATATAATAATGATATAATAATATTCATAATATAATAATATTTATTAATATCATAAATACTAATATATTATTAAAGTACTATTAATAAAGACATATTTAAAACTATAATATATTATATAATATAATATAACTCATTAAAGTACAATATAATATTATAATACATTATATAATATTATATTGCATTACATTTAATACTTATAATACTAAATAATGTAAACTACATATTATATAACATTTTATTTACAATATATTTTATTATAATTAATATATAATATATAATAATATGTTTAATACTAATGTTATAATGGGTCAAACTAGTGTTGATCAAAAATACTTAACATAGTGTTTTGAAAACATTTAAGGGAAAAACACAACACCATGATGTTTTTTTATAAAAACACAACAAGAAAAACACCATGGTATCCAAACGAAACCTTAATGTATGAAAATATGCCTCTTGTTTTCTCAAGAATTTTTCATGATTAAGGTATTCATTATACTAAATAATCATTTTTCGGCAATCTAAAAAGCTATCTAGCATAATTATTTATTACACTTAATGATGAGAATCTAATTAAGTGCAACTAGAGATACAGCTTGCGATAAATATTCAATTTGGATTATGTTACTAATTCTGACAAGGTTAGTTCTTTGTATCAATCCATGATTGGTTGAAAATAAATTCTTTAATTGATATTAATACATACTCCTGATCAAGGTTATCGATAGCGGATAGCGTCGCGTAGCTGTGAGACATCGCTAAGGCTATTTGGGGTTGTTGCGACAAAATAGCAGTAAAAAACGCAAAATCAAATAGCGATCTAATTTAGATGTGTAAATACTAAAAAAAGATTAAAGAAAAATCTAGAAAATCTAAAAGTGCATATTTGATGATTTAAAGAGATCCTAAACATGCAATAGACATGTAATCGTCACATAATACCAAAGACGACTGGAGGAGAAATCAAAGAGTCATCATCTTCGAGAAGATGAGCTGAGCGGTGAGGACTATACCCTAGGAGGAGCTCATAGTGAAGGAGGTGAGAAGAAGTGCTGAGTTAGGTGCCAGAGGCTATGAGAGGCGGCGGGAGCACGTTAAAAATCGCGGGAGGCGGTGGAATGTAGTGGTTAAAGGTCGGGTTTAATTTAAAAAAAACCAAACCGCTTTTAAATACTAATAAAAAAGCGGATTTTACACGCAATCACCCACTATTTACTGTTAGGGCACGCTATTAGCCACTTTTGCGAATGGAAAGCGCATATTCCGCAATATGTCACCGTTATTGGGCAATAGCGTAGCAGGAAGGCACGCTAACGCTGTTAGCGCCGCTATTGCGGGGCTATTTACCGTTATTTATAACAGTGCTCCCGATTACCATTGGATCCACGTCACTCCCTTGATTTTTCCTTGATTTTACACATTAAATATTAATCTTCTAAGCATGTCCCAAGCAAGGTTTTAAATATCGGTTATGGGGTTATCGGACAGCCAAAATCCTTATCGGATAGTGAAAATCGGGGATATATCAGGGATAAGTAGTATTTACCGGAGTGATATACGGTATGATGTATATATAATATAATACCCCAAATTGTAATCTAACCATACTCCCCTCTTTCATTCTCTCAACCTTTACTAAATAACCAGAGAAAAAACCAACTGAATAGTGAATATTAGATGTTGCTACAACTTCAGAACTTGTGTTGAGGGCATGGTGTTGATGGGGAGTCCAAGTCGAACTGTCGAAGTCATAGTTAATGATGGCGTCGATGGAGAGAGCTCGACTTCGATGGAGAGCTCAGCGTCGGTCGACGTCATCAAGTCGATCAGTTAATAATAGCGTCGATGGAGAGAGCTCAGCGTCGGTCAAAGTCGTCAAGTCGATGAAGTTGATGTTGATGAGAGAGCGACGTCGAATGATCGAAGTCGATAGCGTTGAGGTTAGCGGAGTCCGAAGAGGAGCGGAGGCGATTGTCAAAGTCGACGGAGGCAAACGTCAAGGTAGATGGAGTTCAAAGAGGAACGGAGATCAGAGGATTAGGGTAGTGGGCAGAACTGCACAAATGAGGGGAGAGAACGGAGGATTACGGCTACAGAACCGGATTTAAGTTTTATTGTAAAAAACGGGTCAGGCGGGGTTTCAAGTTCACTCAAAAACTGTCCATTACCCAAAATCACAACCCAATAGTGTGGCCCGATAATTTTGATTTTTAGAACCGCTAATATCGGTCGATAATCACCTTTATCGCCGCATTATCACCGCTAAACCCTAAAAACGATAAGCGATTTACATTCTAACTTATCCTATCAGAAATCTTCCAAAATCGATAACTCGAGGATAATATCAGATTATCGGCCGATATTTAAAACCCTGGTCCCAGGCATATTAGGATTTCCATATTTGGTTGGTTTCAATGGACTTGAAGGAAACAAAGAGTAGCTTCTAAAGTATTGGCTAATTTGTACATTTCCATGTTTCCAATTACAACTAAAAAATATTATCGTGTTATAGTGCATTACACCAAATCGTAGTCGGCTTTGCACCGGTATTTACCCTTCCAGTAATGTAACTATAAATTCTGATATATGGCTAAAATCTAACATGCTCCACGCATGTTGGAATTTCCGTATTTGGTTGGTTTTTGTGGACCTTATGAAGGAAACAAAGGGTAGCTTGTAAAGTAGTGGCTAATTTGTACATTTTCCTTGTTCTCCGACTTATAAATTTTTGTCTTGTTATAGTGCATTATACTAAGTTATAGTCTGCATTTTTGTCATGTAGAGTGCATTTTCCATGTCCTCCGACATATAAATTTTTGTCCTGTTATAATGCATTATGCTAAATTATAGTAGTATTTATTCTTCTAGTAATGTAACTAAAATTATCATGTATGGCTAAAATATAATTTGTTAAAATGTCAAACTCTGTTTTATTTTATGAACAAAAGATTGATCGGCTCTAATTGAGAGGTTTGGACTTCAGATTAATATGTTTTGTTTTGTTATGTAATTATAGAGACACGGACAACACATTTCAACTTGGTATAATCTATGATGCACGGATACAGATACGGGACACGGATAAGGAATACGGCAAAATCCAGAAAAATAGGATACGGGGATACGGGGATACGGCAAGGATTTTTTTAAAATTATTATTATATATAGAAAAATTTATAATACCACTTAACACGAGGGACTAATTGGTAAGAAAACTGAAGACTTAACGGACTAATAAACAAATAGTGAAAGTATGAGGGTCTATTTGGTAATTAAAGACGAGTTAAGAGACCAATATGTAATTAACCCATCAGTAATCTATCCAACGGTTGGAATTAATCCAAATATCATCTAACGGTTGCGAGAGGCCCATCTGCCTTGTATATAAACTGCTTTCAGGGTTTAAGCGTTCCCTCGTCAGCCGCAACTCTCAAGCTCCCAAAATCCCTGGCGTCTCGAGAGAGAGAAAGAGAAAGAGAATCAAAGAGAGAGAGAGAGAGAGAGACGAAGAGAGAGAGAGAGAGAGAGACGAGATCAATGGACGAGGACGACGAGATCGATGGACGAGGACGACGAGATCTGAGAGAAGACAAGCGACGAGATCTGAGAGAAGACGAGCGACGAGATCTGAGAGAAGACAAGGACGAGTGGAGGCGGGACTCGGGTAAGTGAAAATATTAGGGTTTCGTTTTTGATTTGGGTTTCGGTTACAGGTTTTGTCTTTCAACAATTTTTTCTTTTTGTTCGACGGGACTCAGATCTAATCTTATGGTTTCTTTGGCAAAGGGATGTTATGATTTCGTATTACGAGCACGAGATCTGATCTCCGCGAGGACGAGCGATGCGTAGAGCCTATCCGAGGAGCACGAGAGCAGTAACGGGACGAGCAAGGGGTGGAGCACGAGATCTGATTTCGACGAGGGCGAGGACGGCGAGGACAAGCACGGGATCTGAGAGAAGAGATCGATGGATGAATTCGAGGACGAGCGGCGGGACTGAGGTAAGTGAACATTAGGGTTTTTGGCCTTTTGGGTCTGGGTTACGGGTTGTCTTACAGATCGTCTTCATTCAGCGTTTTTCTTTGTTCGGCGAATCCAAGCAGTAACCCGCCCCCTGTTTGACCGTGTCCCCCTCACTTGACCCGTTGACCTGTGTCGGACATGGATTGACCGTGTCCGACACGTCTTGCACGGGTATAATTAGCTCATGAGAGATGGGACCTATAAGTTAACGCTATTTGTTACGATTGGTTTAAATCTTCTGGCTGTTTAATATAATAGTAAAATCATTTGCTTAAATTACATTACCTAGTGCCACGTAGTTATTGATTCTTTATCATAAACCTTTTCATATTTTATTGAATTGAATTTCATAATTCCTAGTTTCCTACAAATGCTATCTCTAATGCTGGATAAAATTTCAGAATCAAATATGCTTACAGAATTAAAATCATAGTTATTAATATTACATAAAAGGTGAGTCCCATTTTTATCAAACTAATAGTGATATTAAATCTGAAGTAATGTACAACCCACAATTGCATTTGAAACCGCAGTTTGACCATCCCCTTCACCTGACTGACCTTTCTATTTGCAGTTAGTTACTTTAGCTTTCCCACCTTTGCACCTTGACCAATTATTTAGAAACGTACAGAGCATATTACGAACTATGACAACTTAAATAGCAAGGAATTTGGCCTATAGTTAAACAGGATCAGATTACGCCAATTAAGTTTCAGCTTGTTATTTTTTAGCTCTCCTTATACAGAAGTATTCTCCTGCATGTTGATTCTTCAACATACCCTCACAGGATTCTACCAAGTACGAGGCTACAAGCAAATATTCATCTTGAAACTAGAAAATGTAATACCTGTTTCAGCCAGCACTCCTGATGTTTGTGCTCATAAATATCTGGTGAATAGCACCCATATTCCGATGGGCAGTACACCCAAATGTTGCACTTCTTTTCCCCTGGCTTTGCATTTTTTGCCTGATCTAAGCAAGCTTGGCAACAATCAGCAGCACTTTCTTTATGGTGGGTGAGCCCCCATCTAACAGCAGCACCATCATAATCAGTATGAAGCTCAGCATGACATTCGGGAGGCATAGGTCGACCTGGAATTATCTCTTCCATGTCTGTGAAAGAGAAGAAAACCCAAAAAGAAGTATCAATTAAATTGCACTCCAAAAGTTGTCATCAATAAATTATGCAACTTGGAATAGTAGATCATGATAACTGTGCAGCAAGAACTTTTCAAATGCTAAACCATTAAACCACATGTAGACTATATCCGCCTATAAAGAAATCTAGCAATTTCTCATGGTTAATGCTTGTGAATTAAAATTTACAGAAGAAAACATTGATCAGTAGAAATATACCAAGTTCCTTTGTGTTCTCAGGTTTGTCATCAATTTCTGTGTTATTGACATTAGCTGGCATCCAAAATCCAATTTCTTCCAATAGCTTGAGCCAATCAAACTCTAATGCTCTTCTTAGCATTTCTGGAAACAAGCAAATTAGTGATCAACAATTGAAAATTGTGATCCAAAATTCAGGGATCACTAATATACAAGAGTAAAAAATACATATGACAACAATCTACCAGCTTGTTGAACAGGGTTGTTTGCATCTGATGTCAAATTTTCAAGTGTATTACTGCCTTTAATCTCTTCAAGTTTTTGGATGCGCCACTGCTCCACTGCTCCTGTTCCGAGAAAGTGCACGTGTAAACATTATGGAGTGTTTCACACTAAAAATAGAAAGCATGATTTTGAAATAATATGTTTTATGGTATTAAAAGGTCACAATTTACAATACCTTCTATGAGCATTGAGTTATAAGAATTTACCTCAAACTTGCCAGAAAAGATAAAATGCATCGTTATATCCTGTTTTAGTAGCTATTATTGAATTCAGTCTCAAGAATAAGTACAAATATTCTAAGTATTAAAGTTATCATGAATTGATAGTATTTATAAAATATCTAAATAATTAATAACAATATAGCCTACGTTATGCTTTACGTTTTTTTGCGTTTTTTTTCCTTAACCCTTAACAGGAGGTCAAGCGTTACATAACCAATTTTCGTCATTTTCAACATTGATGAGTTCTAAGAATTTACCTCAAACTTGCCAGAAAAGATAAAATGCTTTGTTATATCCTGTTTTAGTAGCTATTATTGAATTCAGTGTCAGAATAAGCACAAATATACTTCTGTTCTGTCTCTTGATTAATAGCAGTGTCACCAGTTTCATGGCAAAGTAGAAAGCAAAAGTTCAACAATCAAAAGGAGAGGAAGTATCAGTTGTCTGAAGCTTATACTGCGGGTCTTTCCAGAAACTAAAACCTCATTTGATGAGTTAACCTACACATTTCCTATCTTTTTTAACTGAAGAAACATATAACCAGTGTACATGCTCCAATCTTCCTGCAAAACAAGTGATGCAATCTTGTTCTATATCCTAGACTGCATTAACTAAACTCTGTGAAGTAGAACAAAAGCTATGGGTATAACAGAGATATTATTGCTCTGCCAAAAAGCAACATCACATATAAGCATTTATGACAAATTAGGATTTTGGAATGAACTAATATTAGACAATAAGCCCAGAACTGATTGAGAGTAATATGTCCATAAAAATATGAGTAGTTATGCACGGAAATGAACTTCAATTATATTGGCAAAAAACAAGAGGGGGAAATTAATGTGCGATGAAGTAGTTGATAACAGGCTAGAAATCCCACTAGAAAAATTAAACTTTTTAATGGCTATCAAATAAAATTTCCCACAACATAGACAACATTAATGACAAAAATATTAAGGGAAACAGAAGAATTGGGAAATACAAATGTTTGAGAAGAGAAGAAAACGAGAGGAATCAAGAGATCTATGAGAAGACATTAAATATAAGAGAAAAGGATAAGCACCATGAATAAGTGCAGATGACCTATAAATTCAACATTAGTTTCCTTCAAAAGGAAAACACAACCTTTTTTTTCAAAGACAGAAAAGGAGAGCATGATTTATTCCCTCATCTTTCCATCTAATGCATCCGTTTTGATGTCCGGAAAACCATATGAATTAACCCCTAATTTAGCCAAAGCTTAACCAAAATAAAAAATAACAAGACAACAATGGAAATGCACACTACTTATAAAATGTAACAATACCAAACTTGAGCATTAAAACAAACCAAGATGGTGTCCACAAAAGCTATGTAATCTTACGCTACCAATTAATTTGAATGAAAATTTATGTCAGATATATGCCCAACAATGCTTGTATGGATGGGAATGTTGGATAATTAAGAAATAACATGTGCAGAAATGAATCTAGCAAAAATGAGAATGTTACAATTGACATGAAGATATACACTAAGAGACGGCAAAACAAATAAGTGCATTTGAAAGAATTTAGAGCTTACTCCTATTGATATAAATGAAGGGGAGTTGACTAAGATGGTTTAGCCCATGTATATTGGAGGTCATTAAATTATCAATTGGGAGAAGTGATAAGATTATAATTAATTGAACGAAGAGGACTAGAGTTGGGCTAAGAGAACTTGGTTGGAAGTAATGAAGGATATGATAGTTGTCAACTTAATGAAGTGGCCCTTCACAGAAAGAGAAGACTAGGATTCATATAGATGACCCTGAAATTTTCAATACCCATGTAATATATCTAATTTAAATGGAAAATAGAACAGGAGTATAGGAGACGTTTTGCCAGTTATAGCACTTTTTGTTCGGGTAACTCAAAAAAACTCCCCCTAAGGTTTGCTAAGGTGACAGAAAAAATACCCCTGGGTTTTTAAAATAACACTTTCTCTCCCTTGCTTAAAATTTAAATCTATTGTTAATAAATCAAGACTTTAATGGAAAAATAATAATAACTCTATTCATTTCTAAATGTAAGCCCTTTCTGCTTCCACCCAACAATTCCATGTGTGATTTACCTTCAAAGCCACTGACCACCAAAATTGTGGAATTTCAAGTGTTTTGAGTGGCCCATTAATCTCATTTCTTAAATGGTTGAGTCTAACCAGAGCTCTACTAAAGCCAGAAATAAAAAAGAGAGTGTAACAATGTTATTGTAGCTCAGATCCAAAGTTCTCAGCTTTTCATCAGCTTCGCAATGTGTGTGTGTGTGGGGCGGGGGGGGGGTCAGGGGGGGGGGGGGATTATACTAGAAAGGCTGAGTAGACTAGGTCAAGCTGATGATGTTATTCATTTCAGCATCACAAGAGACCTAGCATGAGCAAAAGGGAGAGGAGAACATGTGAAATAAATGAAAGAGATAAAATTCCATTTGTGTTGGATTCTTGCGAGTTGCGATAAAGAACTTGTGAGCAGAAGTGAGCAATGGGAAGGAAGTAAAAAAGTTGACGCTCAAGACCCACTGAAAGAAGGCTTAGTTTTTCAACTTACATAAGGCAGTCTAGGACTTCATCTTTGAGCGAATCGTGAGCTCATGAAAGGAAAATTATTGGAATTTTGACCAAGCGTTAGCTGTGGGATGGAATTGAGGCTTACAGGAACAACAAAACAACCAGCTGTTTCTTCCTTTCAATGAAGAAATTTGCTCGTCTCTTGGTTAGAAATAGAGAAGGGTAATTGTTTTCATTAAAGAGGCAAATGATAATCATGTGAGTCACTGAATCTTAGTGAATGAAAAATCTCAATGGAGGGGAGAAAGTGTTACTTCAGAAAGCTCTGGAGGATTTTCTGCCACTTTTGCAAACCATAGGGAATTTGCTGAAATTTACTCTTTTTGTTATGATTTATGTTGCTACTGATCAAAATATAGGGTGTACAAGATGTATTTGCATACTATTTTCACCATCAGTCATTAAATCCTATCTAGATCTCTTTTTGAGAGGTCAGCCATTGGCTGCTAAGACGATGAAACGAATAAATAGGCATAATCTTTGACTCAGGTTTGGCTGATATACATGGGACAAATATCAGCTACGTTCCATTGTCTTTAAGTGAGAAAAAAGGTTTCAGCAAATGATTTAAACCATATATCCAATTTCCAAGCCAAAATATAAGTCTTTTAAGCCCAAGCATCCCAAGCTTATTTCTTCTCTGTTCTAAACAAGCTGCCAACATCCGTCATTCATTCACAAAAGTACAGGAAAATATTCCAGGTCATGAATTGATTTGAAAACCCAAAAGTCACCCTTTTCTTTTTTTAATTAATCTATTTATTTGTCAGTTGATGCCTGATCTTAACTAAGTAAATGTGATGTGAGATTCACTTTCTTTTATTTTAAACGGTATCTTTACTCAAAACTGAAAAAAAGGAAAGATTTTTTTTTCCTTTTCTTCTTTTAGCTTTATGCACAAACCCACCCACCCACCCAAAAAAAAATTCATGGGGAACTGTAGTTATACGACTCTGATTGAAGACTACGAACAAGGTCCAGCTCCATATCAGAAAATATAGTAGTTTTAGCTCCATGATGAAAGCTGAATTACTAAAGTTTAGAGTAACATTTTTCAAATTTCTTATTGTAATTGCATTGCATAAATGGAGATTATCCATAGGTACCTTCACATGCATGTTAAATTTTTATCAAAGTGATGTCTAGGACTCTTATTATAACCACCCTTAAAGTTATCAATACTTACATTTCAATGAAATATATAGTGTGTCTGACATAATGCTCAATACTAACCTCATAATTCCAGCATATTGCTGGATACAATCCGATATGAAATACCTCCACCCGATATGAACATGATATCCAATATTTAAACCCTTGTTTAATATAAACAATAAAAGTATACAGATGAAGTTGAATAACAGCTAGGAGATGAATCAGCCAGTGTCCTCGTACAACTTGAAGGGATATGTGGAGTGAAAATATATATATAAGGCATGGGTATGAAATTATTCTGCTGAAACGTACACTTTGTGCACAAAGTGCTAAAGTGTAAACCTCACATCAAAATCACCTAAAATATCTCAGTGACAGTTCAAGTGCACCAAAGCAAGCCATAGCTAGCTTCTAAGACACTGGATGGACCATTAAGCTACCTTTTAAAAGTATGGTTGAGAACTGACAGAACAGTGTCACATCTGCAAGTTAAAGTATAAGTGGACGAAATATCTTTACACCCAGATTGGCCCAAGCGAACAAGACTGCATGCTGCTCAAAATATCCTGTACACGACATTCCTTCCACCTGCCATGACTTTATGCAACTGCAGCCACCTCGATAACTATTTCCATGGCCTCTGAAACATAATGGTTTTAGATACAAAATTTGGGAATGGTGTATACATGATCCCTGAGATATCATATGTGGAAAAATACACCCATAAGAGAACTAAAATGAAATTAGGAATGGAGAATTAAACACATATTTGTTTGTGAAGCACGAATATTTGACCAAAGATGAATTTTAGATATGTTAAAAAACGTCTTCATGTTTTTGGTTATAGGAAAGGTGTATCACTATATTCTGTAAGTTCTGGTATGTATCATTGGATGTAAAGCTTTATATAGTCGTCTATCTGTTACAAATAATTTGAATTATACCTTAAATCATGGACTACATATTATTGCCATGATTCATGCGATTTATGGGAGTGATTTTCATATCTTGCATGTTTTAGTAAATGAATTAGGATGGTTCAAAGAACACTTGCATTCTATTAGTTGGAATTTATCCAGAAAAGCAAGCATAATGATTAAGTATTAACAAGCATGTAACAACATGAAAAAAGAATCAACATAATGATTAAGTAACAACAAGGATGCAACAACATGATAAAGGAACCAACAAGTACTAAGCTTTTAACATAGAAGCAAGAAAGAATTTCAAAGCAAAATTTTCATTTTTCATCAAACAAACATCAATGCAAGCTCCAATATCACTAATCAAACAGCTATTATAGGAGAAAAATACAGACAAAAAAACCCAAAATTAGAAACAAATCAAACAAAGCACTATTCAAAATAGCAACCACCAACCTCGATGTTCCGTCTCATTTAGCCCTCTCAGCCTCCCCAAAATCTCACTGCCCATCTCTTGCTTAACAGAATCTGACAGCTCCCATCTCCTCTTCTCCCTAGTCAACTCCTCCTTTAACCTCTCCACCTTTAAATGAACCAAAATACCCAAAAAATAAACATATATAGAAAAAATTTGTTAAACAAACATAAGGGTTGATTGCACTTTGATACCCTAAGCTTCAACGAATTTTACTTTTGATGCCCTGAAGTTTAACTTCACCAAAAAAATATCCAATAATTTCATTTTAACTTCAATACCTTCCATTATATCACACTTTAGAATTCCTTTTAAGACGCATTACATGATTATCCCATATAATATTTGGATTTTTATGCCTAGACTGACAAAAATTGGCCCCCAATCCTTCCTTTCTCCTGCCCCTATTCAACCTAAATCCTTTAAATTAAAAGCATTAATCCATTTCTTCACTTCTTCCAAACACCAATGACACAATTTTGACATAAAACTGCAGCAAAATAAGCCCTCTTAAAGAATAGAGAAGACAAAATTATGAAACCCCTCTTAAACAATAGATAAAATGAAATTATGAAAGGTAATCTAAAGGGCAAATTACACTTAAGTACCCTAAGGTTTGCTAAAGTTGGATGAAAATACCCTAACTTTTATACCTGTTCAAATAAATACCCTAAGCTTCTCAAACGTATCAGCCCTAAAAAGGGTGACAGTGTTAGTTTAGCTGTTAAATGACATTAAAGCCCCGCAATAAATTCAGCAACCCACTGTAAGCTCCCATCAAAGATTAAAATCCCCCTTTCTTATAATTTCACCAACATCCCCCAAATTGCAAGCTTCCAAGGGTAAATTTGGATTTTGAGTGAATTTGAACTCAAATTGACGATTAGGAACTTGAACATTTTTTTTTTTTTTTTTGCAAGGTGGCATGGATCTGGGTTTGGCACCGACCTAATTTACCCCCTGTGGGTGTAAATTTTTATTTCATTGTTAAATAATTGGGTTTTTACATGATGATTTTATGGGTTATAAATTGAATAATGTACACACGGTTTTGTGCTTTGTGATGCTACTTAGGTAAAAGTGAACAGATTTTGGTGTTCGGAGATGTTTTTTTCCTGAATTCTTTACACAGTGCGTTGGGGGCTGTGGTTTTTTTCTGAATTCTCTACTTTGTATCCGACCTGCTCTTTCTCACCTAGCAACTTACTATTGACAAATTCAGCTTAGTGATGTTTTGTGATGCTTGCTTTCATGGTTGTTTGCAAAGAGATTGAAGAGAAATAATGGAAAATATGAGTTAGTCAAATTAGGGAAGAAAATATGGTTAAGAGAGGATGATGACATAAGATGCAAATTTGATAAATTTTAGGGGTAGAGGACAACATCATACTAACACGTCCTAGCTAAAAGGGAATATTCCTAGCATATTCTAATAGTAACATAACAGAGTGCATCAATGTGACACTTTTGAGAAGCTTAGGGTATTTATTTGAACGGGCATGAAAGTCAGGGTATTTTCGTGCAACTTTAGCAAACCTAAGGGTATTTAAGTGTAATTCACCCTAATCAAAAAGTTAGAAATGGTTAAACTTTGGGGTATTTTTGGGCAAATTTAAACTTCATGATATCTAAATTAGGAATCCACCAACTTTTGTAGTGATCAAATTGCAATTAACCCAGGCCATAAAAAAAAGTGATCAATTTAGATGCACTTACCAAATTCGCCAACTCCACAGGCTCGGCCTCGCCTCCTCGATTCTCCTAATCTGATCTTTAGTATACTTAACAGCTGCCACAGCAAAAATGAAACCATCAAAAACAACAAATTAACGCTCAACAAACCAAACCCTAAACCAAGTAAAGATCAAATAAAGGAAACCTGGAAATGGGGCAGGTCGATTGACAGCAGAGATGTAGAGAGATCTAAAGACAAATATAGCAATAATGAGATTCAGAGAACAAACAGCAATGGTGATCTTCTTGTAAGAGAAGAATCCTCCTCCTCCTCCTCTCGATATTCTCCTCCCCGATTCTTCTCCCACCAAGATCGCCCTCGCCATTTCTTGGTCCTCATGTTGTCATCTCCTCTCGAATTCGAGCGGATTGGAGGCGGAGGAGAGTACCGGGCGGTGACGTGATCGCAGTGATCGTTGAGTTGGGGTTTACTTTACTCTCTCTCGTCTTTCCCTCAGTTATCGGGTGAGTAAATGACAACAAAGGACAGTGAAGGGGATACAGGTGACGGTGGTAGGGCTGGCTCCCCCATCTGCAATGGCATTGTGACATCTGTACTAATGTCTTGTTTAGATGTACACGTCCTCAATAAAATTCCATATCAGTCCCCCAAAACTTCGAAATCGATCTTAGGTCCGTCGAATCCTAAGAATACTTGCAAATTGGTCCCTCAAATTAACTGACATTGGATTTGATCGAAATGGATCTTAGGTCCGTCGAATCCTAAGAATACTTGCAAATTGGTCCCTCAAATTAACTGCTTGTTAGATTTGAAAGGAATTTTATGTATGTCAGTTCTAACATCTTGAGAGAAACTTCTAGTTATACCCACCAATGAAGTTTAACCAATATGTTTCTTAACTGGTCTTAAATCCCTAAACCATCTAGCTAAAAATCCAAAACTTATAGACATTATCTTCTTCAACAGGCAAAAGTTCTCCTCAATTTGAGCCCCCCTTACAATGGTTTCTCAGCTTTCCCTATGGTAATTTTGAGTTTTCCCAAACATTTTATATCATGTCATAAAATTGAATACACAAATGCGAACACGACTGGGCCAGCAAAATACTTATCAAGACAAAGGAAAACACCTCATAGCTACTCTTAAGGTCGTTCTTGTTAAAGTATATGAAAATACTAGTGTATATTAAATCTTAGTTTAGTCTCACATCGACTATGTGTAGAATAGTAGTCCTTTATGCATCTATATATTTGGGCCTGGAGCCTGATGGAAAAAGTGTGAGATTTTTCCAGTATTCTGAGTTTAACATGGTATCAGAGCCTTGTTGATCTTAGTCTAATTAATCTCACGAGCCCCACGAGGGATTTTTCCCCCCTTTCCTCTTTCATGATTTCAAAAATCACCCACAAGGGATTTTGTCCCTAAGTAAACTCATGGGATTTGTTTCCCTTTTCTCACTAGTGATTTCATAAATCATGAAATTAGCATGATTGCAACATGCTTCCAACCAAATCTGATTTAATCAGATCTGATCTGCAAACTCGTAGGCATTCAAGCCTCCTTCAAATTTAGGCATCGAAGCATCCTTAAATCTCGGTATTAACGTACACGAAATATAGGCATTAACACCTTATCAAATTCAAATTTCAACATTAACACTGTCATGACAGCACCTAAAAATACATATCATCAACAAATTGATGTCAAACTTGAGGAAGCGAACTATCATGTATGGGCGTTTACTCTCAAGTTTCACCTCTTGAGTAGAGTTCTTTCGGGACATGTAGGTGGATCTTCTGTACCTCCGGTCAAACCTACAAGCATCACTGATGATGCGTACAATGAAGCTCTTCAAGCTTGGACCACGGAAGAACATAAGGCAATGGCCATTCTCATTCACTCAATTACACCAACCATTCGGCTGCAAACTGGTTAATTGCACTTCCGCTAAATATTTATGGATGCACCTCCAGGGTTTCTACACCCAATAGGATGATGCACATGAATATCGTCTACTTCAAGAAGTCACTTTAGCACAAAAAGGTGAAAGATTCATTCATGAATTTTATGGTTATATGCTTGATTTGTGGCAGCAACTTGGAGCTCTTGAACCTACCATAATTGACATAGAATCAGTCAAAAGTTTCAATTCATATCGAGACCAACAACATCTATTTCAATTTCTCATGCGACTTCATACCGAATATGAATCTCTTCCTGGACAACTGGTTCATTGTGTACCATGTCTCACACTGGATAATGTTGTTGCTGAGCTTCTTGCCAAGGAGAAGAGACTTCACTCTTTATCTCAACAACCATCTCAAAGTTCTATTTTTGCAGCTACCAAGCAATTTTTATCAGCCATCAAATTCCACTCCATAGAGTTCACAGCCAAAATGGTGCCACTTTTACAAAACAAAAACTCATTCCACTGAAGATTGTCAAGTAATTGCTTCAAAAATTGTTAAGGAAACCCATACTGGACATTCATAGCAACACTATCCCAATGATTCCCCACAGGCTGTGGTTGCTGACTTCTCATCATCTAGCTCCAAATCAGAAGCTCCAACTAATCATCATGCCCGTTTGCATCAATTTCAAGAACTATTTTACTCTTTGAATATTACTTGTAGTTCTTCTGAAATATCTACTTTTGCCAGACCCTCTGGTAAATCTACTTCAATATGGATTTTGGATTATGGTGCAACTCATCACTTAACTGTTGATTCATCACATTTAATCTCTAAACTCTCCTATATCACCATCAACTACAGTTCGTACTGCTGATGCCATACCATTATCTATTACATGTAGCGGACGTCTTAATTTACCTCCTTCATTTTATGTCCTAAATGTGCTACATGTTCCTAAGGTTGTTTTGAATATTTTATTTGTGTCTGAATTACTGCCATGAACTATGTTGTCTCATTCAGTTCCACATCTTGTTTAGTATAGATCTTCACATAAGGAAACATATTAGGATAGGTCATAAAAGATATGGTCTCTATATTATGGATTGACTTGTTCTTCCAAAGCCCTCTTGCAGCTATTCGCCTTACCAGCATACCTCTTCTATGTGTGATATCTGGCATTATTGGCTTGGTCATCTTTCACTTCCTCAACTTCATTATTTGTCAACTATTGGTGCACTAGGAGCATTTTCTACTAAATCTCTTACTCCATGTGTGACCTGCAAGTTCACAAAATACTTGGATTAAAATACTTGGATTTACTTTTTTCTAGTAGTAATCATATTTCATCTGCACCTCTTGAACTCATACATTCCAACGTTTGGGGCCCTACCCCCATTTCTCAAAAGGTTGTAATCATTATTATGTTGGTTTTATGAATGATTACTCTCGCTATACTTGGATTTATCTGATGTCTAATAAATCTAATGTTTTCTCAAAATATAAAGAAAATACACAAATCGTAGACACTCAGCTTTCTCAAAAAAATTCGCTCAAATTCATGGGGGGGGTACATTTCAAACGAGTTTCAAAAAATTCATATCTCTCAAGGAACTTTATCTCAATCATATTGTCCTTACACTCATCATCAAAATGGTGTAGCTGAGAGAAGTCATCGTCATATCCTTAAAACAACACGACCGCTCCTTCTATTTAATTTTGTTGCAGTTGAATTTTGGGGAGAAGCAATTCTTACGAGTGTCTATTTAATTAACATCACATCCTTATCTGTTTTAAATGGTCTTATCTCATTTCAAAAACTTTATGAAAACAACCTGATTATTCGTCACTTCGCATTTTTGTTTGTACCTGTTTTGTTCATCTCTTTCACTCATGAACGCGCAAAACTCACTTCATAGTCAGTTGTATGTGTTCTTCTCAGGTGTAGTGCTAGTCACAAATGTTATCGTTGTTATGATCCTAAAGCTCAAAGGCTGCGTATTGCTTATCATGTTACCATCTACGAGCATCTCCCATATTATGCCCTACCAATTACCACTTCCAGCATCTACATCAGAGTCTCTCATTTTCCTTGATCTTGATCCATGTGATCCTCCACCAACCAGCTCACATGATACTATCAATCTTTATCCTCCACCTCAGCATAATATTGTCGCTCCTCATCCTCTATTTTAAGAAGTTGATGTCCCTACTACAGATACTATCACTCTTTATGCTGATATTCAACCTATATTTGAGGATCCTCCCCTGTGATGTTCCACAAGGGATCATCATCCTCCTGATAGATTGAACCGTTTTACTTCCCTTTTACCCTCCATTCAGACTTTTCTTACAACAACGTCAAGTTTACAGGAACCATAATCCTACCATGATGTTGTAAAATTACCTGAATGGAAACATGCAATGTACGAAGAACGACAAGCTCTTCATAAAACACAAACTTTGGAGCTCACTGTTTTACCTCCAGGTAAGCGAGCAATTGGCTATAAATGGGTCTACAGATCAAACCCCATGCTAATGGTACTGTTGAGGGATACAAAGCCTACCTTGTAGCTTACTCCTTTATGCAACACTATAGCATTGATTATGATGAGATGTTTGCTCCTATGGCCCGGATGACTACTGTTCGTACACTTCTTGTAGTCCCTACAATTCATAATTAGCAAAATTTCCAAATGGATATCAAGAACGCTTTCAATCATGGTGACATTTTTTAGGATATTTACATGCTTCTGCCAAATGGTCTTCTACATCAACCTGGACAAGTTTGTCATCTTCATCGGACACTTTATGGTCCAAAGCAGACTTCTCATGCTTGGTTTGCTCGATTTACCTCCGATTTCAAGGTACCAGATTTATTACTTGGTCTAATGATCCAACTATGTTCATGCACACCTCGGGGACTAACATTCTTCTATATGTCGACGACATGATTCTCACCGGTCCCTTGAAATCTCATAGTTAGCATGTCAAATAATTTTTGAATCAGCAATTTGAGCTGAAGGATCTTGGACATCTTCGATATTTTTTTGGGGCTTGAGATTGATCGCTCGCTACAGGGATATATTCTCTCACAAAAGTGATTTCTTACAAATGTTTTAGATCGCTCTAGGATGACAGATACTAAGACTGTACCTACACCTCTTGAGCTTAATGTTAAGCTTTGTTCAACTAATGGTGACCCTCTATCTAATCCTTCCCGCTACCATCAACTGGTAGAGAGTCTAGTCTACCTCACCATTAGTCGACCTAATATTGCCTATATAGTACATATCATCTGTCAATTTATCTTAACTCCTCATACAGATCGATGTTGCTATATGTTGTAAAATAACCAAGTGTTAATCTCTCAT